TCGGATTCAGCGCCGTATAGAAGGGAATCGGTGAAATAGTTCTCCAATCCCTTAAACGGTTGCTTATCCGCGACCACCGTCTTGACTTCATTATTTGTGTCCACATACTTGAGGCACTGGTGAAGAGTTGACGGGACTATAAGATTGCCGTGGATCCAAGGTCGACCCAACAGTAAGTTATAGGACGTTTCTGCGTCAATCACATAGCAAGTAACTTCTGATTTTAAATCCCCAATTTGGCATTTGATTCGGATCTTCCCCAAGGGTCTGGACCCGCTGGTGTTGAATCCGTAAATCGTAGTGCCGGTGGAGGCTAGTTTGCTAGTCGGGATTCCGAGATGATGCATCAGTCGGAATGGCATGATGCTAACAGCAGAACCCGGATCAACTTGGATCCGGTTGACCATGCTGGAGCCAATGTGCCCTGTGAAATACAAAGGCCGATCATGCTTTGAGTTCTTTGTCTGCATGTCTTCTTTGGTAAAAGAGATGCATGGAAAATGATGCGCCGCGAGATTGCAGTGTTGAGCTGACGGCTCTGGTCCTTCAGGAGATGGCTTGATTCGAGTTAAGAAAGCTTCAGAGTCGCTCAAGGCCTCTTGTAATGCTTTCCTTGTATCCTTGGAAAGACGCAATAGCTCGTATAGGGTTATCCTAGCCGGGATATTGGCCAACTGCGCCATGATGTCAAAATGGGGTAGAGAGCTTGCATTTCCCGGTTTGTCTCTCCCAATCGGGTGATTGAATCGAGACTGCCTCGGGTTTTGGGCTTCCTGACGTAAAGGCTCTTTCCCCTTCTCCTTCTGCCCGACTTTCTCCGTAGCTATGGGCGTTGGGGGAATTGCTGCAATTCCCAGTTCTGCCAATGTCTTGGAAGGAGCGGTTTTGGTACCTAATTGCTCGGAAGCATGTAGTGATACTCATTCCCACTTCGGGTTGCAAAGGCCTCCTGTTCATCTTCAGAAAGCGGGAAGGCGGGAATTTCTTCGTCATCTTCTCCCGGAATAGCAGAAGCTCCATAACAAGGCTTACCTTTTCTTTTTGACTTTTTCTTGGAAGAGGTTCCAGTCCATTGTTCATCTCCGATCAAATCTGGATGAACCCAAAGAATCTCACCATTAGGGGCTGTGTGTGGCACAAGTCCTTTCTGGCGCTGCTTGTGAGGATCATCGTTCACCGTCTTCACTACTGCCTTTATTACTGGTTCAAGCTGGAACCAGTTCAAGGGAGCAGAACCGAAACCAATTGATACTGCATTTGCTCCCACTTTCTTCTCCTTCGGCTGCTTCATGGTGATGACCCCGACATCGATTAGAGCTTGGATCTTGTCCTTAAGGGCATAGCACGCCTTGGTAGGATGGTGCACCGTTCTATGAAATACGCAGTATTTTGGATCATTGATTCTCTTAGCATCTTCCTGATCCTGGACTGGAGGCAATTTAATTTTGTTATTCTCAACGAGGTACTTGAAGATACTGGGAACTTCATCCTCTTTGAACGAATAGACTTTTGGGAACTTCGGTTCCGAGGCTTTTGGCTTCTGGGTCTGCTGTTGCCACCTTGATTGTTGAGGCGCCTTTTGCTGTGGCTGTTGCGGTTGCGCTTGCACTTCGAACGTTTGATTCGCGTCCACGGCATTTGCATGTGCTTTTCCTCTACCCTTAGGGACAAAGTTTGGTTGCGGAGCATTATTCGCTATTTGACCCCTTTCCGCCTTCTTCCTTTTAAGGAATCGTTCGGCTCGTTCTCCTCGCACCTTCAGATCCTTCTAGGTCTTTGGCGGTGCCATTCCCATGGCTTCCAGGATGTCCAATGAAAGATTGTTATGACAGGTCTCGAGGATGAAATCTTCGCTGACCGGATCCCAGCAATTCATTGCCTTGTTTCGGAATCTCTTCACGAAATTTTCAACTGTCTCGCCATTCTTCTGCTTCTCCTCAAACAGAGTGCTGATTGAGACCTCAGTGTCGTCGTCGAAGAAGTTCGTCAGAAACATATCCTCCATGTCATCCCAACTGCTGATGCTCCCCGGCTTGAGGCGACGATACCAATCGAAGGCCGCTCCGCGAAGAGTGCCAACGAATGACCGTACCATCAAGGGTTCATTGCCGGAGATTATTCCTAAGTGAGACTTAAAATATATTAAGTGTTGGGTAGGGGAACCCTTTCCATCAAACGGCGTAAAGTTGATTAAATTGAACTTTGCCGGATATGGAATTGATTCCCACTCCCTTGGGTATGGACATGGTATGCCGGACCTTTTCACTTCTTGAGCATTCATCAACGCGTTGATTTTGCTCTCCAAGTCCTTCATCTTCTTGTCCTCACTCGTATCTGTCTTCGAGTGGCTTTGGGGAGAGGTAACGTGGTCCTCTTTTGCATTATCATCCACGGGACCGCTTCCATTGTCGTTGTTGACAGGAGGGATATTTATGTTGACATTATTCCCTTCCCGTTCATTCTCATCTTGATTCTGATTATGGTGTCGAGTGGGTTCTCCCTGGTGACTTGTCAGAGCCGCGATTTGCTGGTCATGCATCTCTCTCATTTGCCCCGCACTAGACGCCGTGTCATCGGATGCTATAGCCGAGTAGGAGTCTGAATCAGCATCTGACGCCTCCTCTTCCGAAGGAAGTCCTTTTTGCATCCTTTGGTAGTTCTTTCGTCTATTGATCCCTGACCGCAATCGAGTCATGCACTGGGACGCTTCGGCAAGTTGGTTTGAGCTAGAGGGTCGTGTCGATTTGCCTCTGCCAGTCATATTAACAGACACTTCTAGGAATTCGTCCTCTTGGCGAACGAACTTCTTCCCACGAAAATGCCTTGGCTTGGAAATCCTCTCGAATACCGAGACTCTCTTTGGGGTTTTAGAACAGCAGCATTCTGACAACACCGCCTTGTCTCTTTCGAGACTTACTCGCACCCCCAGCTCTATAGTACAACTCATCAGTTTGATAACTGGAGCAACCCATAGAGTGTTGGCATGTCTTCCCAGGTATAACACAATCATCATCAGACGAATGTGTTTCCCTCTGGGGATATGACGCTTTATTAGCGTTTTCAGAAGTCACTCGTTCAAGTCTACACTTTTGCGAGCGTAAAAACTTAACGGGCTCTTGAACTTCGACCCGCAACCCAAGGCGGTCGGTAACAGGGGCTTTCCCTTTGTTATCTTTCTTGGAGGAATTAACACGACCCCCAGTCTGGTTCGTCATTTGGGGACCTTTCAACGGACCCAATCGCTCCTTGACAGGTGCTTTACCTCGGTTCTCCGGTAAGGGACCGAGACGACCTTTCAACGGAACTCTGGCTCTTGAAGGATCTATGTTCTTACCTGACTCCGCCGGAGGTGCGGGGGCAAGGGGAACAGGATCTGGATTTGATGAAGGTTGGACAGCAATATCGTCCGCTCTTGTCTTAGGCGCCGGCTTTGCCTTTAGCACCCACACCTGCTTGTGTTTTGACGGATTCTTGACCGTCTCTTCTTTCTGCATCTCCTCCGCTTTCTGCAGAATGACTCGGGCATGCGCAAGCAATGCGCGGCGTTTCTTGATTCGCTCTTCGAGGGTTGAGCGAGTCCTCGTGACACGAACCCATTCGTTCGTTTCTGCCTTGGAGGAGGAATTGGTTATGTGCCGTTGTTGCTCTTGGCGCTGTCTGGACTTGAGATCTTCATTGTAGCGAATCCCGTCCATCGATTCTGTGGCATTGGCCAGTTGTCGTGCAAGGCGTTGGCGCCGTCTTTGGCGCGCCCTCTTTGACATAGCTGGAGCACCTTCGACAGTCGCCTTTGTGGCGGAAGGGAGATCTGGATCTGCAGCCTTGACCTCTTTGGATGCCGCCGGGATGTCACGGGGCACGGGCGCAGCAACGGCGACGAGATCTTGGATCTTAGAGCCGGAGGTCCCGCGAGCATTTCTGGAAGATGAAGTCTTCCTACGCCTGTTTGGAGAGGCGGATCTGGAGGAGGAGGAAGAGAGGTACTCTTCAAACTTTTGCTGATCGAACTCGTATTCGATCTCTTCATTCACCCGGATCTTGAATGCCGGTTGCGTCACGACGGCCTCGGCAGCGAGGCCGTTGGCTCCCACTATGGTCGCCAGTTTGTTTTCGGAGAAAAATGACAAAAAATAAAAATTACAACTTTCTTGAAAATAAACGCAAGGTCCGTTTATCGTCTCTTGCTTGCGTGGGTCTTTGGCCTGTGACGGGGACGTCGATATCCGTGGACTACCTGGCAATCAGATCTGATCCAAAAAAAATCGGGCAGAGATTTGTTGATCCGCGAGGAGATCTAGAAGCTTGAAGCGCCTATCTCGGCTAAAACGAGATATTTGCTCTTCTTAGGATTACCGGCGAAGGGTAATGCTAAGGAACAGACACGGGTGATGAAGACCTCTCTTGTGTTGAAGCACTCGACCACTCTTCACTGCTGCAGGGCTTCGCCAACTCTCCAAAAATCCAGATCCTCCAAAAGTGAGGCCTAAGGTTCCTATTTATAGGCATAAAGGCACACATAGGGCGTTGGGACACCCCTGGGGTGTCTAGGCTTTGCCTAGACACCCCTGGGGTGTTTCGACTTTCCCGAGACACCCCGGGTGTCCCAGTTCAGCCTGAGACGCTCCGTTGCGTATGTTTGATTGTTTTCGCCGTAAATTCTTCGTCCGAACTCGGATTTGAGTGATTCCAAGTGCGTTGGAAGCTTGACAAAGAGTTCGATCCGCTCCGATGGTTGGATTATCTGTAGAGTGATCGAGACATGAAGGTCATTGTTCTTTTCGTGAACATCGCAGGGTTCCCGATGGGCCCGTGCCTTCGCTATTCCGAAATCCTATCAGCTCACGTAGTTCGTCGATTCACTTCAATCGTTCATCGACGTCAATCGAACTCCTGTGGATCGGATAGTGACGTTCATCGTCGCTCTTTAACACTGAACTGTTCGTGGAGACCTATAGGCAATTTTCGATACCTACATTTCATACTAACAAAGTTTCTCGATATTTTCAATTCAAGAGAAATATTACATGAAGGGAAAAACAAAAACAGTCTTAGACAAACCAAACAGTTCACAGAAATTGGTGGTGATAAATTAAGGGCAATAATCACAAGGTAATTATTAAGTAAACGCAATTAAACAGGAGGAAGTAGGCCGAGGAGGAAAGATGTGATCATGGTTAATGCTCTTTTAGGCTGGAAGCTTGGCACCATGTGTCCTGCTCCTCTTACTGTTGTAAATGTCAATCCTTTGTAACCAACAGCATATCCGCCAACCTGCAATAATTATAATTGTAACATATTAACATCAACGACATATTCAAATTATTGAAAAGGAAGCTAATAAGAAACTTGAAGTTAATAGGTTATAATTCTTTTACCTCGTCATCGACATGCCATGGACGCCATGATGACTCAATGTCAAGGTCAAGTATGCTTATGAGATCCCTTGTGGATGATACTGGACATACTGAATCTTGATCACCACTGAAGCAATAAGTTATAGTATTAGCATTTAGCAATTTAACATATATAAACACAAACTTGAGTTTATGAGCATAACCTATACAACCAAACACGAAGGCCACTTGTAATTAGATCTTTTATTGTGGGCAAAACAGTTGCAGGTGAATCAATCCAAATGCTACCGAATCCTATGAAAGAACTGTTTTCAAATATGAAGTATTAAGCTAAAATATAAACTTATTATCTAAAAATATAATTGATATTAGAATGAGAAATCCATGAATATAACCCAAACCTGCATACGCTCCATGGATATGGCAACTTTGTAATATTTGCATGAAAAGCTTTCTGAACCTCTGGAAGATTGAGGTATGCGTCGACATAATAACCCGCACAAGGATCATATTCTTTCACCTAGAATAGTCATAATATATTGCTTATTATAAAAATTGACGAACAAAGATTACTTCAAGAGATAATTGTTCTTTCTTTAATTCTCACAGAACTGAAGCCAGTTGATTGAGATGGGTTGTGGCAGAGTGGAGCGTAGATGTCATAATCATCGATATGCCCAACTTCTGCAGAAGCTGATCTCAATGCATTCTTGCAATTGATGGTATAGTTTTGGTTAGCAAAGGTGCATTTCGATTGGATGTCTCCATAAGCTTCATCAGAAATCAAAGCATGAGTCCAGTAGTAATTGTACATCCCTTTTGTGTTAATATTTCCATCGATGTATGCATTTCCAATCTGTAAAATGAGTCTCCCATCAAGTATATAATCGATTAATAATCGGTTGCAATTTCATAGAAACTTGACTTACAGCCACACCCTTTAGGTTGATGACAGTATTGTTTGTGTTTTGGTTATTTGCTAGTATAGTACTAGCCAATTCTGGAATATAATGGCCACCATAACTCTCTCCACTGATGTAGAAATCTCGAGCTTTATACTGAGGAAATCTTTCAAGCCAGTTTAAAATAAAAGAATATGAATCATCAGCGCTTCTCTTATCTCCGCTCAATTTGTAATCCGATGAAGTGTTTGAGTATGAAAACCCAACTCCAGCAGGAGATTCCAAGAAGATTACATTTGCCACTGTTTTCATGAGTAAATGTTAGTAAAATGAAAAATTGGCTTATGCATAATATAGAGGGCATATTAGATTGACCATTGTTCCATGAATATTCATTTGTATATAGAGTTTTGCCATCACTGTTGACTCTGAACGGTCCCAATTCTGTCATGGCTCCAGCTCCAAGCGAAGAGCACCCAGGTCCTGCATTTCATTTTCTGTCATATATTGAGCCCAAATAGCATCTGTATTCCTAGCATTGGCTTTAATAACAACAAGACTGAGAAATATTGCGGTTTTCCTATTCATACTTGTACGTATAATATGCCCATGTGAAATCAATTAATTTAATTATTTTACCTGTCATTATCTCACCTATTCGACCCATATAACAAATTAATATGAAAAGGACAAACTGGGAGGTGCTGATGAAGAGAGCTTGAGGCAGAGTTTTGAAAATGATCAACAACGTCTTCTGGTTGCTTAATGTTTGTTATATCATTTTGTATATTGTTTGTGGAATTGGATGAGTGAAATTAGATACTCTTCCTTACAATTTTCTCTTTGATTAATGGATTTTTCTTCTTGTCTTAATTTGTTGATGTCAAACATCTTTGAATTTTTTTTCCTATTGTTTCAGGTAGTTATATATCCATTCTGCAATCACAAGAGCTAGCTTCAAATTCAAATCAAGAATCACAAATGATTACCTCCATTAAGCCACAACAGAAGAGGTTTGCTTGATGCATTTTCAGGAGACTCAACAAAGTAATAAAATAGCGCTCGTCCAGCCGAAAGATCTACTGTCACATATCCTGCATACTGATCGAATTTCACCTGAGGTTGCCCAGGCAACGAATCAATCTTATCTGCTTCCATCATTCCATCTTGTGGGCCCACATAAATCGGCGCCTTTTTTGAATTTAAAAGTTTCCATGCCTGATTTCGGATAGATTGAATCAGCGGTTGAGATTTCATCAACTCCCGGAGACGGTCTGCTTCGTTATAGGAGCAATTAGCATGTTGCAGTGCAAAGAAGAGCAATAAAGCAAGGAATACAATTTTCATCTTTGTTCCTTTGTTTTTTAAAGTAGTGAAGTTCAACAATATATATAGATGATAGCTCTATACTACAGTACAAAGTGAGTTTTGAGTTTTTTAAGTGCTCGGACTCTACAAAGTCCTTGTGTTAAAACTCTACGTGAAAGGCTGGGTGTATAGTTCGAAACCATTGATAGCTTGCCGTCCATGCTGGTTAGTTTTTGATATTAATGGAAAAACATCATGCAATATATTTACATTGTATTCATAAATGTGTAGCTTATGCTGTGTACGCATTATGCTGTGTCCTTTACTGAATTTTGTAGGTCATGTATTTGTCTTATACTCTAATACATATGATGATAGGCAGCTTTACAAGGCGAAAGAAACATAACGTGTTCAGAATAGAAAAAAGTTTTCATGTATTTTCATATTGGTTTATGATTGTAATTTGTAAAGATGGTCAATATAACATTATACCACATTTGTTTATATTAGTAAGAGTCATTATTTTTGAGTGTAGATGTAGTCTAGAAAATAAAAGATATCATCCAACCAATGTGAATGTTCAACAAGATGAGGGAACGAGGGTTTAAGTTTTGATGGAGTACTATATATGAACGGGGCAGTGGCGTAGCCAGGAATTTCTTTTACCCCGGGCGAAAAATAAAGTATGTTAATAACTGTAGAGGTTGTACATATATTTACATAAAACATTACACATGATCAATTCTTTTTTTTCCTTTTAAAACACTAGTGTGAGCTTTCAAAATTGTGCCCGTGGAGAAAGTAAATATACTAATTGACATTCTGATTCTATGTCAAGAGATCACATCTGACGACAAGTTCCTAGTTGTTGGCTTGTGAACTAATAATGTAATATCAAGATAACAAATCATTACTTGTGCACATTTTTCTTAGAATAATATATCAAACTGAACAAGCCAATGCTAATTGGTGTTTGTGATTTTTGTACAGGTGGTGGCCTTCGGCCACTTTCTTGCCCTGGGCAGCTACCCAGGGCAAGCCTACCCTGGCAACGCCAATGAATCGGGGTGGAATCAGCAAATTGTACATGATGGGCACAACACCAGGTCCATTGAAAATCATAAAATATATAAAAACCTAAAATAAATAAATGTAAATGAAAATCATAAAATATATAAAAATGTAAAATAAATAAATTAAAATAGATAATTGGATTTTAACCAAATATATGATTTTACTTGTTGTCATGCTTACACCAATAACTATCCTTTATAATATACTTTATTCTTCATGTCTTCTCTAGTACGTAAAAGAAAACTATCTTGTTCTGAATTTTTTTCCCCGAAACATAATAGCTATAATATATTGTATAAGCAACGCAAACTTTAGATAGTAGTAGATGTATAAAAGGTGAAAGTGAAACTATTATCGCTTGCTATTAATTAGTCTAACTAGATGGGTCGGATGTTAACAAATTTTAGCAATCTCCAAGGTTTGACTATTCTAAAATAGCCCGAGCGGAATAGTGAGCTCTAGCACTGTTTATTCCTCCTGCTTGGACCCGGCCCAGTTACTAACCCGAACCGGGTTTTGCCCACTCACGAATGAGTCATTGAGAACCGTCTTTATATACCGACCATACTCGGACTCATCCCAATTTTTTATATAATGACCCTTTTTTAATTATTTTGACGCAATAATCAAATTTATAGTTAAATTATCTGGAAAATATAAATGGTTTGATTCATTACATGATACTGATTGGTGAGGTTTGGATCAAAAAAGTGTACACGTGATAGATTGGGTCCGGGTCCTGATACAAGTAGGGTAAAACTTTGATCCGGATTCACCAGATAGCAGCTCTATGTAATATAATTCATAAACTTGATGAAATAAAAAGACATTTATTAATTAAGGTTATTTAAGTAACAACATGATTTATAAATGTGAAAGAACCCAATCAATCCACCAGAATACTTAAGTTGTGGTGAGACCGTAAGAGTTTAGAGTTATATTTTTATATTGTAACAAACATTTACAAGTGAAGCATCTTTTTCATGGGCTGAAAATTGGACTCACGCAACGGTATTAATTTTTATAAAATCCTTATTAATTTCATGGCCAATGTGCATGATTTTTCTGATACCATGTGTTGGGGAAATATCAGATACGCTCTGACATCCGTTCTACGGAATTTGTCCTACCGGATCTTGTGTTGAGCAATGGAAAAAAGGAATCACTACAAATCAAAAATAATTGCAAGAACAAAGAACACCGATTTTAACGAGGTTCGACAACTTGCCTACGTCCTCAGAAGCCACACAAATAATTTCCTTTATATCAAATAAGATTACAAAGCTTGTAAAAGAGTAGATCTCAACTTGAGATCTCTCAAAAAATAAGAACCAACAGAAACTATCTATTGTTCAAACAAAAGGCGCTGAGATTTTCAAAGTTGAAAATCTCCTCTCTCCTCACTAACTCTGCTACAGGAACTCTCTTTAATAACCGAGATTTTCACTTGAAATCTCGTGCTCAAAAGATTGGGGAGGAGAAGAAGACGCTCCAAAAGAACGCCGCCACCCAGCTCTCAAAGATCGCTCTGAGATTCTTCTCAGAAATCTTCTTGTGCATAATTCTCCTTTTATAGGAGAACCCTAGGGCCAGAACAGCTGTGTCCAGCTGTTTCCCAAAAGCACAGGCAAAAGAGGAAAGGGGGAGGCGAATTTCGAACTCGCCTGCAATCTTCGAGTTCGCCTGCAGCGGGCCGCTCGAGCTCGCCTTCAATCATCCAAGTCCGCCTGCTCGACTCTAATCTCGCCTGTAGCGCCTACCTCGAAATCACCCGCAACTCATCCCGCCTCGAGATTCGCCTGTTCGAGTTCATCCGCGTCTTCCTTCGCCTGAAGCTTCGCCGGAGCTCGCCTCGTCTCGTCGCTGACAAGGTATGGGCCTACACCCATTTCCAACAATCTCCCACTTGGAGACCATACCGCCATCAGCAAGCTCTCTCTTAACAAGCATCTTCTCCTGTGTGGCTCCGCCCTCATCTCTTACATATGAAGGCCAACTGAAGTTGCGCACAACTCCAGTTTCTGGATGGTGACTGCTTTAGTCAACATATCTGCAGGATTTTGGCTCCCCAAAATCTGCTTTAGTCAACATATCTGCAGGATTTTGGCTCCCCAAAATCTTTTCCAACTGTAACTTCCCGTCCTCTATCATCGAGCGTATGAAGTGGTAACGTAACTCGATGTGCTTCATTCTGGCATGAAATACTGGGTTCTTGGCAAGGTGTATAATACTTTGGCTATCACAATAAAGAACTTCGTTCCCCCGCTTCAGACCCAACTCTTCCAGGCACCCGGTTAGCCAAATCATCTTCTTGCTCGCCTCGGTCACTGCGACATACTCTGCCTCAGTTGTGGACAACATCACAATCTTCTGAGAACGTGAGACCTAGCTCACTGCCGTCGACCCTAAGGTATAAACATACCCCGTGGTGCTTCGTCTTGTATCATGATCACCGGCAAAATCTGCATCCACGTATCCCTACAGTAGCAACTCCTTTCTCCTGAAACATAGTGGCATATTCGTAGTCCCTCTCAGATATCGCAATATCCACTTCACGGCCTCCCAATGCTGCTTCCCTAGGTTACTTGCAAACCTGCTCACAACTCCCACTGCATGGGTAATATCCGGCCTCGTGCAAACCATTGCGTACATCAGACTACTAATGGCTGATGAATACGACACCTTCCTCATGTGCTCCTTCTCTGCATCAGTTTTGGATGATTGTTCACCAGACAACTTGAACTGGCTTCCAAGGGGCGTGCTAACAACCTTAGCATTATGCATGTTGAATCTCTGAAGTACTTTCTCAATGTATTTAGACTGACTCAACTTCAACGTCCCCTCAGCCGCATCTTGGCTGATCCGCATCCCAAGAATCTGCTTCGCTGCACCCAGATCCTTCATGGCAAATTCCTTTGCTAACTGCTTCTTCAGCTTGTTTATCTCTTGTAAACACGGTCCTGCAACTAACATGTCATCAACATACAGCAATAACACGATATAACTGGTCCCGAACCTCTTAAAGTAACAGCAATGATCTGAATTGCATCTGTCATAGCCATTGCTCTGCATGAAGTTATCAAACTTCTTATACCACTACCGTGGAGCCTGTTTCAATCCGTATAGGCTCTTCTTGAGCCTACACACCATCTCTTCCTTTCATTCCTCAATGAAGCCAACAGGTTGCTTCATGTAGATTTCTTCATCCAAGTCGCCATGAAGAAAGACAGTCTTTACATCTAACTGCTCAAGGTAGAGATTTTCAGCAACTACTAAGCTCAACACCACCCTGATGGTTGTGAGCTTCACAACAGGGGAAAATATCTCTGTATAATCCACTCCTTCCAGCTGTTGGACCCTTTACGACTAATCTGACCTTGTATCTCTTCTTTCCATCACTCTCCTGCTTGACTCGGTAAACCCACTTGTTATGTAAGGCCTTCTTCTTTGCAGGTAGCTGGGCTAACTCCCATGTCTCGTGCGAGCGGAGAGAATCCATCTCTTCTTGCATTGCATGCTCCCACTGCTGAGATTCGCTTAATTGCATAGCCTCCTTATAGCATTCTGGTTCTCCGTCATCTGTCAAAAGTAGGTAATCTAGTGACGAGAGATACCTGGGATTCGGTTTGGGTACTCTGGATGACCTCCTAAGCTCCTCGCCCTGGGTAGTCGGTTCTGTACCTGGAGTCTCCTCCGTTCTTCGGTTAGAATCGACGTTGTCTCCCCCATCTGGAAGTTCCTCCAAATCCATGTATTCGGATGCGTCTGCATCCATAGTGCTGCTCCCACTGCTTTGGCCCGCCTTGGCATTGTCCCTGTCCTTGTACATCACTTCCTCATTAAATATGGCGTCTCGGCTCCTGATGATTTTCCTGTTCTTGTCATCCCAAAGACGATACCCGAACTCATCAATACCGTATCCAATGAATGTACACTTCAGTGACTTAGCTTCCAGCTTGTCTCTGATATGGTCACTGATGTGGACATATG